GCTTGCCCTAATTATAATATGCATTACTTTCTGAAACTCCTAGTTTGCATTGCAGATTCCTGCAAATAGAGGCATTCATTTTAAACATCAATTAATATCATCCATGCATCTTCAGATGAGTTTGGGTCTTTATTTCAGAATTGCACTGAGCTCTGACTAAGCTTTCCTCAGTGTGAAGAATAGCTCAATCTACTGCAGACATCTAAAATTAAGCCAGTGGGTCAGATCAGTAGAAAGCCCGAGAGCCCAATATTAATTTATATCAGCTGGTTTTCTCCTGTGTCAGTAGTTAGAAAACATCCCTCCTCCTTTCACATACATTTGCTTCCCACATCTGTTCCTGTAGCTGCAGAAGTCAGAGATCAGGCTTGGCACAGGGCGTGTGGCGGTGTCAGAGACACAAAACCCGAGGGCCACGTTGTTGCAAGGATTCCAGCCCCACCATACTGCAGGTCACAGGGAAAAGTCACACAAAAGGAGAATCCCTGCCTCGGAATCTGCAGCTGAGTGAGGCAAAGCACGAGAGAGAAATACCGGGCTGAACCAGGAGAACCTAGTCCAGGCTGCAGCAGACGGATGTTACAGGCGCTCTGAGCAGTGAGATGCGTGAGCAGTGAGATGAACCAGCGCCCCACAGGGCAGGTCACACAGCAAAGCTGGCAGGGACTTAAAGGGAGAGAGAGTTGTGCCTTCCTAGCTGGTGCTAGCGGAGATGTGATCCTACCAGCAGACTCAACAAGAAGGTGCTTGTTGGAGATGTGTCTGAGATATCAGACTGACCGGGGTGGTGCCGTGAGCGGGGCAGACATGCCATCAGCCACCTGCAGCAGCAAGAGGAGAGCCAGGGCGCACCCTGGGCAGCCAGCGCTGTGGGCCAGGTGGCAAGGCCAGCCGTGGTGTTTGAGGCAAGGCTGAGGTAAGGCTGGAGGCACAACTTATCATTTAGTTTGAATTCTTTCAGGAGGCTTAAGTGTGTTATTTAGTATTAGATAATTTAAGAATAGTAATGACTAACTGGTGGGGATCACATTAGAAATCCATATGAGTAGAACTTCAACCAATAAGAGAAACCAACAGAGGCAGCGTGTATTGGCTTAGCTTTTACGTAAGCTAATCAGAACTTCAAAGACCAGAAAACTTCAGGGCTTTTCTCAAACCACAAAAACAGCTTAAGTACAAACTAACCAACAGGTACATTGACTTACGCAGATTAAGATTAGCCAGTACGAATCACACCTGATTGTTCTACATAGATTGATTTTATTTTGCTAGTGACTAAGGTAACAGAAATAGGATTGTGCACTCAACCTGGGCACCCAGGGCAAGGTCTCACCTGCAGATATTCAGGAGCCTTGTCTGAAATCCTCATCACTAGTCTAGGAAATAACTTCTACATTTATTTAAGAACAATTATTTTTGTTTTCACTTTATATCCCAGTAATCTCTGGGTTCATATCACTGTCACACAAACTTCCTTTGCTGTATCGTTAGTACGTTGTTCCTTATTTACTCATTGTACTGAGTGCACACCACAGCAAGTAAAGCTCCTTCTGTCTGTTACTGCAAAAGCATGTCTCTGTGGTGGCTTCCCTGAACTCTGGTTTCCCGTGACTACCTGGGATAAGCAGAAGAAAAGGGTCACTGCAGTCAAGGTGCAAGACAAGGACCAGGAAATGGCTCTGCAGGGCTGTCAGGTTGGTTGTGGTGTAAAAGGAGAAGTATTTTCCTTTTGCACCTCCTGCCCTGTTAGGCAGGAAGAGTCTCAAAAGGGTGACATCCAGATGTGTCACCAGGACTGAGGCCAGAAGCTCATCCATTCCCAGCATCAGGCTGTACTTCACAGGAGATACAATCTGCATGAACCAATAAACCTCAGCAAAGCAAAGCAACTTTGCTGTGCACTCCAGACCCGTGGTACTTTGCAGAGTCAACTCCACAATTGCCAAACGTCTTCTTGCAATATCACATACCTTTCCCTCCCACTTTTTTGTAATCAGACCTCATTACCTTTATAACAGGGAAAATCATATCGCTGGGAAGCCACACACAGAACTAAATGGGCAAAGCAAGAGGAGCACTCTTTGCAGATACCAGAGCTGAGCCACTTGCTGCCTTAGTCATCCTCAATGTGAGTGCTGATCTCTGCTCTTCCTGTTTCCCATCTTTCCTTTCCACACAAGATTTAACGTCTAAACAAAAATACCCTTTGTGTTGCCTCCAGTGACATACTGACTTCTCTTCAAATCTGTTTATAGGCTCATCGCCCCTTCTGGCATCAGCTTTCAAGCTTCCACATGCCGTGACACCCACCTCCTTTCCTTCCCTGGTTTCCCTTCACTTCTTTCACTCACACTCCCTGGTTTTCTTTTGTTGATTCTCCATACAGTGCTTTCTCACCTGCAGTTATTTGCCTAGCGCAAATTTGTGTTCCTCTTTTACTCACAGTGCAATTGAATTCTACTAAAACGTGGACTGGCACTGGACACTGCTGCACTAGCTTACAGCACTGAGCAAGCCACCAATGGTTAAATGATAATGAAGGGAGAAGACAACAGAAAGGATGAGAAAGGGTGAGAGAATGCTCTGAGTAAGCAATAACTACAACATGAACAGAACCTGGGAGAAGTCGAACTCTCAGAGTAGGAGGAGGTGGTGGATAAGGAGACAGTGCATATGGATTCAGAAGTGGATACTTAGTTTAGAAGAAAAGGACAAGAATACAAAAATTAATCTATTTTCATATTAATAAACTACTAATAGGGTCAAAAGATTGTCAGCAGCCTTTAGCACCTTTACACTGGTAATATACGACTGTTTAGAATAGTTTCTCAAAACTCCCTATAAAAATGGAAACAGCATCCTTTTTCTGAAGAAATGTCCTCTTGGGGTGAGAGAAAGTAAGGCCAGTGAACTGACAGTTTAAGATCTAATTCCTATGACTACACAGCCATCTTCTGTTTTTCCTACACATATTTCTAGATGAGGGGCACTAATGTGAAGTTTACTCCTAGAAGGGCATTCATTGTGGCTCTTGCTATACACAAACACTGCAAATGGCACCCCACCTCTGCCTCACTACTTGATGAGAGAGAAAATTCACTGGCCCCTTTTAAGGTCATGGCTCAGGAAGGCATACTCACCAGATTTTTAATGTAGGATGTCAGCCCTGTAAGTTTTTTTGATCTCTAGGTTAACACAACACAAAATTGTATTAAAAGACCATCACGTTGGAAGGCACAGTGAGGTTACGAAATGCCAAATTGAAGTTGCCTGCACATCCTGACTGTTGAACTGCATCATGATATGGTCTCCAGCTGCCTGCCTGCACACTTGCCCTCTGAACATCGATATAATATTTCTTTTGTCTTCGTTACTCAGTGTGGCCCAGTACAGGATTAGTGAGAGGATGGTCCTGAAGTTCAAGCCCATTTTCACAAGAAAATATATTTAGTGGCCACAGATGCTTAATCTCCAAGCTTTATTCTTCTAAGGCCGGATTTCTTGTGCACTTACTCTTGCCCTGTTCCCAACTCTCACACATCCGTTTCTACTGTGTGCCTTCATCCCTGTGTTTCCCCCGCAGTCTCGTTATCCCAAACGCTCCCTCTTCCCACTGCCTCCCTCTTTTTGATGCTACATTCTCATCTGCCTTTTCCAGAGTCCGTGTGCCTGCTATGTTTCAGCTCCCAATTCTCTGCTGCCTCCTGTTCCTGGCCTCTTTGCTCAGGCAGCCCCTCAAACGCTTGGTCTAGAGGTCCCATGACCAGTTTTAAGCCCCACAATTTTCTCAATGCATATCTTCTGCAGTCCAGCACAGCTCCTGCTCAGTGGTTTATCCCTTCTACACCCAGATTTGAGAAAAGAGATTGTCCCTCATTCCCAGTTTCCAGTCGCAAATCTGTTGCCCCAGAAACTCTTGGCAAGATATGAAGTCTGGGGTATGTACGAAGTGGAGAGCATTTCAGGTCACACAGATAAACTTTAACTGAAAGCAATAAACACCAGGAAATCTGATCATAAGCAGTGATTGGAGATCAAACTTTTCTGGTTTCAGCCTCAACCTGTCCACCCTGTAATTAAACCCTGACTACGTCCCTTTCACTGATGCTTTAAAAGACAAATTAAAAATGTTTAGATGATAACTGTTGTTATGAAATGGACTATACCACAAAAAATACTCCAATAAATTAAGGAGTGCAAAAAATTTTAGTATAAGCATAAGGTCCAGCCTGAAGATTTGATGATCCTGTTGGAAGAAGCTTCAGCATTGCTAACATGAGATTTTGTAAATACAATAAGAAAAACCTGATGTATCCATGAAACTTATCACAACCAGATCAATACACAATATCTCAGCCTTGCATTTAAGCTCTTTATTTCACTCTTGGTCACAGCTGATATGACCAGATAGAACTTTTAGAGAAGAGTCCCGTGGCCGACTAATAAAAAGGAAAGGGAAAAGCAGATGTGCTGCAGCAACCAAGAAAAGCTTAAGAAAAACCCTGGAACTCCCTCAGTCATCCTGCTCCACACTCCGTTCAAATCCTCCTTGGTCATATCTGCATCATGTGGACTGATTGCAGGGCTGAGACTTGGCAATATTTGCATTTGGCCAGAGCTCAACGCGTGAAATACAGGAGCAGCCATCTGGTTCCCGCAGCTCCCCGTTTCCTCTCGCACCACTAGATGGCAGGTCCCCGTCTGCGAATGGGGCTCCTGCCAGCAGCTGGGCCCAGCACCAGCCCCTGCAGCCACACCTGCCTCCCCGGGTCACATCTGCCCCGCCATGTCACACCGGCCCCTGCATGTTGTCTGCAACACAGACGTCTTGTAGAGCTGTCAACAAGAGCGGCTCTGAGCCAGCGTCCTACCTGAAGGATAACACAGGTTGCACTTTTAAATGGCAACAGAAGAAATTTCCGCAAGCACCCCAGAGGGTATCAAGTACTAAACACAGGCCTTACAGACAACAGAGGTTCTCCACGTCATGTCTTACTCACCCAGAATTTTACGAGGAAGAAAGCGTTTTGGGGCCCCTTCCCAAACAGTTCCTTTAGACCGCCTTTCTTTTCAGGAAATTTGTCATAAATCTGACGAATGTCCACCGATTCAAGCAACGGGTCGCTGTAAGAATGGTTAGCATGTCCGATGTGTACGAAGAGGTGTTTGTTGTACTGCAAGAAAGAAACAGGGCAATCAGTGCTGTACAAAAAGAACAGAGGTTTATTATGGCATCGGTCTGCATGTGCTCCTGCGGAGGGTAGCGCACTTTGATGGAGTAAATTACTCGCACATTACTCCTGGGACTACGATTTTCTGCAGTATGATTTCCATGAACAACTTTAGTGATTGTGTCACAGCCCCTTGCGAACAAGGTTGACATCAAAAAACCTGTGTCCCTACTGCAAACCACAAAACATGGTCATCTTCAAGGGAGTAATTTACACTGAAAGACCCAGTGGCAGCACGGTGATAAAGAGCCCTTCACAGAGCATAATACGATGAATAAGCTCACAAGGAAAGCCTATTTCTGCCTCTTTAAATAATGCCTTTTATCGTCCCAGGTCCTCAGAGCCTGAGCCTCTGCTAATGCCACAGAGCCCACACATACACATCTCCTGTTTGTCTACTAAAAAACCCCCAAACCTATTCTAATACTGCTTAACTAAAAGAGAAGGAAGGGATTTTGTGTTAACCCCAGAACGACAGTAATGAGAAGTCCAGTTAATCTGTGTTGCTGTCACTATAGAAGCGGTTGTCATTGCATGCCCTCCAGTATTTTAACTCACGTACTATTAAAGAACCAAACTTTTACCACTTCCCTGGGGAGCCAGCTCTATAGATGACTATCTCCGGCAAAGCATACTCAGCTCCAATTTCCTATTTCCTAACTTCAACCCATCGCACCTCATTATATTCACAGGAATCACCTCAGCAACCCCTTTCCTGCCTGGGGGAAATCCTTGGCCCAGTGGAGCCCACAGCAGCCCCTTACGGAGGGCAATGAGGCCTTTTAGGGGCTGTCATTTCTCCAAGCCAAGAGCACCTCTCAGCACCTGAAATGAAAGCACAAGGATAAACCCCAAAGATCCCCCATCAGTGAATCAGAAGTTCACAGGGTCATGCGAGCAGAGCAAAGGAGCTCGAGAGGGGCAGGATTAAATATTGGGGTTTTTAATCAAGCGGAGCACAAAACATTTTGCTATCTCAATTAAAGGAAAGATGATATGCAGTCAATGAACACTAGAAAATCCTGTCAAATTGAACAGACGCTATATATAAGGGGCAATTCCCAAACGCTAAGCAAAAATAAAATATTTAAAACCCCAAAGCAGGCCTCATTTATGCTATTTTGTTTACAGTATACCTGCCAAATGAACAAATTGAAACGACAAATCTAAATTAATTGGACATCCATTCATAGCCTTCCTTCAGTGTAAGCAGTCATCTGCTGGGGCAGATGTACAAAACTCTGCGAAAAAGAAAATGGACTGGCTAGATTATTGCACTCAGGAAATTAATTAGAAATTTATTTAAAAATCATCTAACACAGTGAAATCTGAATTTAGAATCAGAGAACACTCATTTGTGTATGGGCCCAAAAATGAGATATAGTCTGTGCTTTTTATAGGGTTCTATTTCTCCTCTAATTTTGTGGAAGGAAAAAGTAAAGCGTGACACTTTATTAAGGTGTTTGCACAAGCAAGTTCAAATCTGAGAGCACTGGTTCCACAGATTTTCCTTGCAGCCCTCTTTCAAAAGAATGCATTCCCAGCTTCTTCCGCGTGCAAGTGGAAATCTTGCCCAGCCTTTAGTTAGCGCACGTGGGTCCCAAAAGGGGCAGAGCTGGTTCGAAGAAGCTGTTTCTATCTACTAGTGGCAAAAGTGGACTAAACAGACATGTTAACATGACAAAACAAACAAATCAGAAAAATTGCAAAGTAATGTAAGAAAACACCAGGGCTCCAACTTCTGGTTCTTTTGACACTGTTGTTACATATTCAGCTAGCAATAAGTCATGCTGAACATTTCTTAGGTATCTTCCATCTACTGCAAACCTTAGATCTCAGTAAAATGTATCAGTGCCCTGAATAGCTGGGAACTCTCAGGAATGCAAGAGAGAAGGTTCAGAAACCCGTTCCTGTTGCTTTTCTAAGGTACCGGGGTGAAGTGCAGAAGCACGGGGCACAGGTTGAGTCCCCAGACGTGGCTGTCAATGGAAGCCCATCTGCAATGAGGCAAACATCTCCAGTTGTCGAGTAATGAGAATTCCCCACTAGAGGTAAGCACTTCAGCCTTCTCTTAAAAATAAACCAAAACACTTCCTTTGCCTCAGCATGTCCGAACTTTCCTGGAGTGCCCAGCAGTTGTGTTCTCCCTGGGGATGTGAGATGCCCCAAAGTATCTCTTTGCTCTCCCTCGTTCAGAGTAAGGCCTTGAAACACCATCCCTGCCATTAGTGACCGGGTTATTATTTATCTTGGGATTGTTTCCTCTCAGTCTTCTCTGCTGGAGTTGTTCCAGGCTGCACATATAACCACACTCTCATAGGGACACAACTGAGGGTTCTCCCGTGCCCAGAAAGTGTCCTCCCCAAAAGCGTGTCCCTCTCCCAGGCCCAAAAACACCTGTGGAGTGAAAGAGGAAAGGAGAGCTGTATTTTTCCGTTTGGCAACTGCACATTCCCAAGACAACTCACTCACTGTACCTTATTCTGCAAACCAGGAAGATATACAGGTTGCTCAGTACCCAGACTCCAGTAAAAGCAAGCACATTTATAGGAAGACAGAGCATGAAGTCTTAATACTGTTTAAACATAAAAGCAAAGTTAAAGGCAGCTGTAAAGCTACCACAGTTGTCTGTGGAGCTTGCCAAAGTCCCAGATGCTGCTGCAGCAAAATTTCTGCACGGGTACAGTAGGACAGATGGTATGACATCACCTGACAACTTTCTTAGGACAGAAATGTTTATTTTCGTATTGCAATGTGTGATTATTTTCTCCTCATGTTGCTGCAATTCCTATGCTAAGTATAACCATTATTAACCTAATTAGACATGGCATATTTCTACAAACTAACATATGATAATAGAATATTCAGAGCAGTGTAAATAGATACTGAAATGATCCTTATCGTTTTTGTACAAATATACTCCATGAGAGTCATTTATGCATAGACGAAAGCAAAGAAGCCAAATTTTATGCCTGTAGTGTTGAGCCCATTAGTGTCTGAAAAGCTTAAAAACATCCTAATTATGTTGAGACTTCACTGTTACTCTAGATTGAGTATTCTAGAGTCATCAAAATACATCAGGTGCTGAGGAATTTACTCATGCTACAGCATTTAAAGGATTTGCATCCAACATGGGGGGTAATAACGTGCTTTAGATGTTGCAAGCCATCATAGATAAAATCCTCTATTTTATGAGGATAAAAACTACATAAAAATACAAAGAACATTTTAAGCTCTCTTGAGTGTCTGCATTACACAACATGCCCTGGAGATGGCTGCCTCTTACTGAGCTCCTTTCCTTTAAAATATTCTAACTATCCAAAGAATGCAGTAAAGCCATGAAATATGACTGTTGTCAAATAATACCAAGAGAAAAATTATAATCCACCTAGGAATTTAAAAGAACCAAGACAAATTGCCAATGGCAGGGGATGCAAGCATTTAAACTGCTGCAGAACAAAGACACACCACCTGCGTCTGTTTTATCAGCGAGCACATACACTTGTAACAGCTCCTCACCTATTTTGTACTTATATTCTAAAGCAACAGCGTTTCTAGTCCATGAAATGCAGATCTGCAAATTGTTACACCTGTGGAGCTGATGCAAAGCCTTCACAATCCCATCTAGGACCAAGGGTTTTATTAGACAGTTGCGGCCAAGATGCAGGTGGCAGTGAAACCGACCCTCTCTCGCTCCTGGAGCGGGCAAGCTGGGCCTGCCGAGGGGCTGCACTTGGGGGGCGAGCATCTCCCTGGGCCCTGTGACAGAGACGCGGAACAAGGCGGAGGCAGGTGGCCCAACAGAGGGGCCTTGGCAGCTGCTTCTGCAGGGACGACCTTGCTCATGGGCACAGCACCCAGACTGCAAGTGCCTTCCCACTGCACCCAGGGGTGCAGATTTACCCCCAAACCATACCCATGTGCCTGGGAGTCATCGCTGTGCCAGTGGGGGCCACGTAAGCTCCGCGGCAAACACTCCCGGCCCTGCAGCGGGACAGTGAGCTGGTGGCTGGTCAGACCCCACACAGCCACGGGACAG